ATATTTTTCTTTATTCTCATCGCTTGTCTGCTTGATATTGTATGGATTATTGTAAGGTAAAATTCTGTCTTGGTCACTCATGGGAGTTAAAGGGTTAAATAGCCTTTATAACCATGTTACTTCAAATGTAATAATATTCTAAATAGTGTTAAGGTTAATCAATAATAGATTGTCTGGTCATAAATGTATATAATATGTGTTGTTTTCTTATTTGCAGTCCACTGAAATAAAAAGGAAAAATCATGGCAAACCAGCTGAAGTTACATTCAAGCCAATTGCTACAACTATCAATAAGTCATCTACATTTGTTTTTGGCTCTCCTGCTCCAAAACCATTCTTCCAGCCTGCTAACAAAATTGCCACAAAAAGTGAGAAACTCAGATTGAAATCACCCAAAGTTTTCAAGCCTATCGCTTCTGGATCTGCTTCAAACATTGAAAAGCCCAAGACTCCTTTAGCGCGGAAATCCCTTCCTGCAACAGCCAGGAAGGAAGACAAATCAAAAACACCAGCAAATCCATCCCGCAAGTCAATTGCTGTGACACCTTTCAGGTAAGATTTTGCCTCAAGCATTTCAAGCTTTTTTTGCCTTATGGAAATTTATTTTGTTTCAACTGCAGATAGAACTATTTAGTCAACAAAAGGGACTCATCTGGATCAAGTTTGTAGTCTTTTGGGTCACGGCATATACAAACAAAACTTTGAAGTCTTTTTAGACATTCTTGTTAAAAGAATATATTTTGACTTCTGTTGGAACCTGTACCACTATAATCTTAAAGACTTAGAATCTTGTAATAACAACTTTTCTATCTTTCTTTTTTGTCCTCAGATTTTTGCCAGCCAATGCACTAAATGTCACAACACCAACCCCAAGAAAAAAATTTGATCTCAAAGCAAGCTTGGCCAAACCCTTATCCTACAAGCCACACACTGGAAAATTGAAACCTATTTCTTCATACCAGGAGGAAGTAAGGCCTACCATGAGCCATGCTAAAGTGAAGAATCATAAAGTGGATGTCAAAAGTGTGAAAGTCACATCAAGGTAAGGACTTCAACCACAGAGTAGCAGTCCTGCACATTTACAAATTATCTGTTTAGCTCTTAGTGAACAAACTTCAGCCACCATTACGTGTCAAAAGTCCTCAAAAGAGTAATTTTTCACCCCCACAAGTGACCACAATTTATAGTATTTCTCCTTACTATGGCTATACAATATCAAGCAGAAATATGATGAGAATAAAGAAAAATATCACTTAGAGGATTTTTAGTTGATTTAATACTAAATTCTTCGAACTGAAATCACCAGAATTGTACAACAGATAGTAAGGAGAATTAATAAATGAGATCTTGGGAATGATAGGGTTTAAAAG